TTCTTTGCATTGACACAGTAAGTATGTTTTGGACATGTCATAGAAAATTATTAAAATTGGATTCAGCATTCCTATTTCTGCTTCTTTCACTCCTACCCATACATGTCTCATAAAAACAACAGATGTTCACTCATAATGGTGGGGGAGTAAATACTGAATCCATTCTTATGTCAGTGCTGAGTGGTTTCTTTCAAAATTTGTTCTAACTTTTGTCCATCTCTTAGAAAATATTTCAGATAATGGCATTGTCATAATTTTTTCAGGGACCATCCTATACTTCTTGTAACAGAAAATGATATTAACAAATTTTTCTTTTCTTTGGGGGCATCTCAGATGTCATGCATCGTCCTTAATACTTCTTTCATTTCTCTTGCCATTGGATCACTTATTCATATCTTGGCAGAAAAAAAAAAGATCGCAGAACACTTGTACTGCAGACATTTTAGTTCTGCAGAAAATCACTAGAGCACGACAAGCGAATTGTATGTTAATTTTGGAAATCAGAGCTATTTTTGGAGGAAGTTCATGCTCAGAGACTATGGAACTGTGGTCCTGGAGAGCTGGCTAGTGCTAAAGGGAGCCAAAGACTCCCAAAGTGTGCACAAACCTCTCAAATGTAGCAGAGATGGAAAAGGATCAGGGATCAGTGATGTGGGAGCTGTAGGAGAGGTGGCTAAAGCATTCCGCCTCCCTTCAGAGCCTGGGCAGAAAGCTCTGAGAAGGCAGGCAAGGGTCCCCTCTTGTGCAATCACGCCTTCGGAGAGAGCTCAGGCGCAGCACATAATCAGGATTGGAGCTCGTAACATAACTGTGCTCCAGTGTAAGTATACTACAAGTGTTGCTGTTTGGGGAAAACGGGGCTTGACTGATGGGGCATTTTTTGAAAAGGAATGCATTCCGTTTAACTACCATTCTGAAGCATCGAGAGCTCATGCTGAAATTCTTTGTTCTAAGAATAATGTGCATATGAATTAAATTGTATGTTTTTACAGTTATGTTTATTTAATAAAATAACCTGTAATGAAAATGTGTTCATCAATAAAGACAGACATGTTTTGTAACTCAAAATAGTGCTTTGTTCCTTCATTTTGTCCTAGTAAGGCTGATGCATGCTGTAAATATGCTTGGATATAATCCTTTAAAAACATAACCAGAATACATTCTGCTTACTGCCATGCTTCCTGCCAGGAATCATGTCCCATTGCTTTGCTTAAGTACTTTGTGCTTTGTAAAAAATGCTTGGAGAGTTCTACTCCTAAATGACGCACCATTGTTTTATGTTTATTCTAATTTTCCAATATGCTTGCTAGCTTTTTTTCCAGCCAGTGTCCTGGTGTTTTATTGTCAGTACTGTAAACAAGCAGATACTCATAGTATGTATTAATGTGCTCAAATATGAGGCTTGTTTTTCCCTCAAATAGGTTTGGATATATTCAGATTGAATCAGCGCTTGAACTAACAAAGTATCTTGCCAGAGAAGATGAAATCTTTATATGGAATATGGTATTATTAAATCTAGTACCAGAGATTTTGGAAAGTACTTTGAAAAACTATGAAGTATATCCACTTCTAAAGGTATTACATTTTTTGTTAATTGGCAGAGATTCTAGATCATTTAAAAAAGCAAAAAAAAAAAAAAGGGGCCAAAATGGACGCTTTTAAGGTTGTCAGGAATGTAATGATGATTATGGTGGGTCATAATTCCCTTTGGCTGATTTTGCCAACTTTTATTTTTTTTAATAGACATTATTTATTTGTATGGGTTAGTCATTGATGACTATCATTAAATCTTAAACTGTACATAAGCTGGTGCTTATGTAAAGCAGAAATATATTCACATTCTTAATTCTTCACATTCCCATTCTTAATATTAAAATTGGTCTTAGGTTTTGGTAAAATGGAAGATCTGGAAAATTTATCAGTTGGAAAATCTATCAGTAGTAAATAATGAGTAGTAAGTAGTAGGAGTAATGCTGGTATAAATAAAGGGGGTAGATTACATGTGTATTCTGTGGAATGTGCTGCCTTCCAATTCATTTTCATGGAGAGAAGAAATAATTGGGTTTAACCCAAATTTTAATCCATTTTTTTTGGGCTACCTGAGATAGCATTTCCTTATACACACCTATTTGACTCAACTTTTATTTAAAGTGCAATCTCATGATAATCATTCAGTAATTTATAAAAGTAAAGCGAGGTTTTAAACATGTGAAGAAAGTGAAGTGTTTTCCTATTTGAGAAATTCTTCTTTTCTCTCGTGTTCTTTGAGAGTGACTATGTGTTTTCTTCCATAAAAAAGTTCCAAACTTCTTTTTTCACCTATCAAAGTGAGGTGGAATGGATGTTTTTCAGTTTGAATGAATGTGGAAGTGTATTTTTTTTGGACTAAACCTAACATACTTTATATGGTAGATTAGCAAGAAATCTATAGTGGTCAATTTTTAGGGTAAATGTGAAAAAAATAAAAACTGAGTTTTATTAAAATACATATCTAAATGAAAGTAACTTTTTTTTCTCCTTCTTTTAAAAGAAATACCTTTTAAAGAGAATGTTGCCAATATACCATTATTATGCAGGTTTAATTCGGCAAAATCTTGATGCTTTGGAAACTGACTATTTTGCTCAGTAAGTATTCTTTTTTCTTCCCCTCAAAAGTCTGGTCTGGCATGATTTGATCCCAAATACTGTATTGTACCTTTGTAAATACCAATACAAGATACAGGAAAAATATTCCAATTTATTTGAATCTAATTGAAATTGTCCTGTTACTTGTGATGGTGCTTCCAATGAATTTTCAGTAGCTGGATTTTGGGGTATTTTATGTGAATTTAACAAGCAGAGAAGTTGGTAGCATTTGTTTTTTTTTTTTGTGAACAGGCTGCTGCTATTAGGAAGAAAACCCACAGCATTGAGCTTCAGATGTGATTTATGGATCACATCTAGTCACCAGAGCTTGAAAATAGTTCATTTTGTTTGGTTACCCAGAGCTAGGTGCTTGAATGTCAGTGATGAGGCTAGCAAAAGGGTATAGAAAACACACAAAGCCTATTAAAAATTACACTCTGTTCGTGGCTTCACTAATTGCTGTGGATATTGATGTCATGAACCCATTGTTGGCAGTTTAAGTCAATATATATTTATTAAATCTTTAATGTTTCTGGTAGAAGTCCTCCTTGGTAAACAGCATCATGTGCTAAAATTGTGCAGATTAAGCATTTTTCAAAGTATTCCAAATACAGAATACATATCTTTTATTGTTGCTATTTTGGCTTCCCTTGAAGAGTATATTTGGAAAAACTTTTTGCAACAGCATGTTGGCTGGGTCTCCAAGACTGTTTGGATCTTTCATCTGAACTGTATGCGAAGTGGATGAACAGCCCTGAGTACAAGTAAGAATGATAATGTGCTCTGAAAAGTGCTTGTGTTTAAATCTCTGTCATGTAGAGCGTGCAGAATAGGATGGTCCCTGTACACTGCTCTTCTTCACAAAATTTCAGAACTCGGGCTTAAAAAAAGAATCCAAAACACTACAAATCCATCAAGCTTCTCTTTTTTTCCCCAAATTCCAGGTTCATATTCATATTTCTTGCTTTCCATGCAGACTTCACAGTCTGAAGGATGCCTAGTGCTGCCATAAAGACCAAATACTGTTTATCTGTAGAATGGCCGAAGCTCCAGTCAGGCATAATTCCCCTATTGCCCCCAGCTTTGGGGGCATGAGATGTACTCACACAATTCTTAAAGCTTCTGTAGGAAGAACTGAGCTGGAATGGTGTTTGTGTGGTATGGGCATTTGCCCATGGTGAACCCATCAAATCATTTTGCATGGACTGGATTTGTATGGAGAGATGTTGGGAACAGGTCCAGATCTCATGGTGTTATTGGATCCAATGGTTAGGTTTCTTGTCTCAGAGGATAGAGGTCTGGGTTCTGATTCCCTACTACCATGATCAGACATTTTGTATTAGCGTATTGGATTGTTGGAAAAATCTTACAATGTACTGAAATTCTTACTCTCTTTTCTCCCTCTTTTGACATTGTTTTTTCTATGCAACTATCATACAGTATTGGCACTGGTGAGTGCATGTTTACAGTTTATCATTTTTGTTTTTTTACAGTTATGTAAGTTTTATAACTGTTTTTGCTGTTGTATGTGCTTGGCTAAGTGAACTGAACTTGTGTTTTTACTTTTAATAGCTGTGGTCATTAAAAAACAAAACAAAACATAACTGTGCTTTAAAGGTAAACTGAAAAGCTTAAATATGTTAAATACACTCTGGTGTGTTCCACAGACAGTATTCTTACCATACACTAAGAGCAGCAATGCTGTGCTAAAATACAAGATGATTTTCAGCATAGCCACGTGTTTTCCTCTATTAATAATATATGAAGTATTTTTTTTTCCTTTGGGGATTTTACCTTATCTGAGTTCAATAGTTGAACAGTGAAATATTAGCTGTGATGTTGAAAAGAAATAAAGTTTCAAGGAGAAGAAATCATGGGAGGCAGGAAATTCCTCAGGTTTCAAATAATGTATCAGTGTTCATGTTCAGTAAAAGCAAAGGCTTTTCATATGCTGGAAAAAAAAGGATAATAACCTTCTGAAGCACCTTCTTGCAACGATGCTTTTAAATGCTCTGTGTTCTCCATTCTGACACCAAAATTCACAATGGTACATGATAGTTGGTGTGCTACAAGTAGTGCTATGCATTTCATGGTACCTAGCAGGATTCTCACATCTTTTGAAAGGAATAATAATGGTTTTCTCCTTCAAATAAGGCTACCAGCCTTCAGATGAATCTTTCCAAACATAGACTTCACAGAACTTCATCTTTTGGGCTTGATATGGTGCATTTTTGTCTACTGAGTGGAAAGAATAATCTGAGCCATGATTTCCAAACAGTGGTTTGCTCTGCTTTGCTCAGAGGAATGAAGTAGACCTCTCTAAATTAGTTTATTCCCTGTGGTTCTGTGTTGCTAGTTTATCTCCTTAGAAAGTAGAAAAAGACCCTAAATGAAGGGACAGTGTTGCTGTATGTTTTAGTTACTAAAGATAGCTACACCACCGTTACTACAGAGGAGTTGTCACATATCTGTATTGATTCTGGGAAAATGACATAACAGTAGTTAGCAGTTAACTGTTCCTAGCAGTTTGTTGCATGTTACTCCACAAACATGGGGAGTAATGACAGTGAATCTTGAGCCACAGGACAATACCTGGAAAAAATATCAATATCAGTAAATCCTACCCTGATCCAACATGAGAAACAAAAACCCAAACTCCTCTGGGTCACAGTAGAGATCCTCCTGTGTGGACTAGGCAACACAAATCATTTCCAGGCCACTGTAGCTGCACCGACCAGTGCAACCATATAGTGCTGCCCATGCAGCCTTCCCTCCATGCTCAACATTCAGAGCTGCAGCCAAATGTTCATTGAGCTTTTGTCCATTTCATTTCACCCACTACATTATGTTTGATAACCAACATTTTTTGAGACTACTGGGACAATTTTGGGTATCAAAACAGGAGTATTTTAGCCAAGGCATCTTTTTAGGAAGTGTCAGAAGGAGATTTTAACTAATCCACACCTCGAACACTGTGTTCAGGTTGGGCCCTCACTACAAGAAGGACGTGGAGGTGCTGGAGCGTGTCCAGAGAAGGGCAGCGGAGCTGGAGAAGGGGCTGGAGCAGAGACCTTGTGAGGAGCGGC